GGAACTCAGCGTGTAGCATACCCCCACGGCCCACTAAGCTCTTGTGTTAACAACAGGGCTGGGCCAGCGACCACCCGGTCGAGCTGCCCCTGTCCAACTGGGGCCGGACCGGCCCAAGGGAGGTCAACCGGCAAACCGGATGACACCAAAAAATGGCCAAATCATTTTAGGTTTTTTTCTTTTCTTTGCGGGATCCGACTGCACTTACTGAGATCCGCAATGAAACTTAGTAGGTTGGAATTTTTGCAGGTGTGCTGGGAGGGGGGGGGGCTGTCTCTTATACACATCTAGATGTGTATAAGAGACAGAGATATGACTACCAACAGCAGAGGAGTCAATGGTTGGACAAACCCTTTGCAGAGACATATTTCTGTGTTCGAGCAGCAAGTGCCCTCACACCCATCACGTATAACAGCGCACTCGCACATGCACTAGATACGACTACCAACAGCAGAGGAGTCTATGGTTGGACAGACCCTGCGGAGGCACCCTCTGCGATGGTTAGTCAGAGACCCTTGAGAGGCACCCTTTCCCGGTACCCTCTGCTGCCCTCTGCTGTTGTGATCTCGTTCCTCCCTAACCTCGTCCTCGTCTTCTGTCGACCCTCTGGCATGATGACCCCATATCTCCCCATGTCCTCTTCTTCCACCACCACTTTGCCATTGCAATCTAGACTCCACAAGCACCTCCTCCTCCAGACCCCCCTGCTATTACACAATGTTCCCATTTGACCCTGGCTCTTTCTTCTTTCCCCTGATCGCATGCCGCACTCCGCATCCTCCCCAATTCTCCCCCCATCCTCGTCATCTTTCCCTCTCCTCTTGACATTCTGCGATGCTCATCCCTTTCCCATCTCTCCGTCTAATCCCGAGCATTGTGCCACGTTGCGCTCCACATCCTCCCCCAATTCACCCCCCCATCCTCTCCCCATCCTTTTTCAGTCATCCTTGATATTGTGCTTTGTTCATCCATTTCCCGTCTCCCTCTAGTCCTGAGCATTGTGCCATTCTCCTTCCCCTCCCCCCTTCCCAGCATAGCATCATGTTCCACCCCTTCTTCCCCCCCTCTTGACATTGCGCCATGCTCCACTAAGCCCCCGTCCCTGACATTGCACTATGTATGGTCCTTCCCTTCCCTTCCCTTCCTCTGACAGTGCTATATGCTTACACCTCCCCCCTCCTTTCAAACCCCCACTCTATTGCCATTGCAATCGCAACTCCACTACCTCCGCTCTCCCTCCAGACTCTTGCTGCTGTTACGAACGGATCCTGTGTGCCCGATACCTCTTTCTCCACTCCCCTGATATCACGCTCGCCATGCCATCCTCTGTGACATTGAGCAACTCTCATCCCCTCTTCTGGCATTGCCCCATGCTCCTTCCCTTCTTCCCTACCTCTAACATTGCGCTATGCTTACCCCCCTCTCTCCCTTTCCTGGGCTGATGTTGTACCATGCTCCTTCTCCAACTCCGCCGTACTCTCACACTTCTCCTTGTCTTCTGAACACCCCCTCCTTTGCCATTGCAATCGCGACACGACTAACCCCTCTCTCCCTCCGAACTCCTGCTGACGTTAATAACCCATCTCATGTGCCCAACAGCTCTTTCTTCAATTCTCTGATGTCATATCATGCTCCGCACCCTCTCCCATCCTCTCAAAATCCTTGTGCAATGCTCATTCCCAACATTGCACCACGTTCCATCCCCTCTCACCCTCTTCTTCCACATTGTGCCATGCTCCCCCATCTGCGATGATCCCATTCCTGACATGAGAGCCGCCCTGCCATCAACATCTGTCACCTGGAATGATAAGGAAGGACGATTGGTTCCGTTGCTAACTAAAGATGCACGCACGAAACCACCAACTGCCCCAATTACTCGAAAGTTTCTTAGAAACTCACTCGCGTTAATTCACCCATTTTTCACATATCTTTGCGACAGTTTTGGGTGGGGTAGCGTTGAAAAACAAACCCTACCAGCGAAAATACAAAATGGTTCAAGGCAGAATAGTAGATGAGAGCAGTGATGTAAACTCCCCCACCGCCTCGTGCACCTTCAGACACCCTCTATTGTTACAAACTGGTCTTCTGCAGCCTCCACCTCCTTCTCCTCATCCCTGAGGTCATGCTGTGTTCCCCATCCTCTTTCCCTCATCCTTGACATTGGGTGATGCTCATCCCCTTCCCCCCCTCCCATGCTCCTGCCATCTCCCTCTCCTCCTCGATATTGTGCCATGCTCCATCTGCTCTTTCCCCCCTCTTCAACATTGCGCCACGCTCCCCCCTTGCCCCCTGACATTGTATTATGCTTACCCCCTCTCCACTCCATTCGTCCCCTGACCTTGTGCACCCTCGTTGTGCCATGCTTCCCCCTCCCTCGTCCATCTGCCCCTATTTCCCTCCCCATTTCTGTGCCTCCTTTCCTCCTGCTGTACCCTTTGTATGGCGGTTTGGAGGCAGAGACGGCGCACTTTTGACACCAAAGGCCATTCCAGTGGGGAGAGTGAGATAGGGGGGTAAGGCAATAACTGAGGGAGCTTTCCGAAAACATCAAACGGGAGCAAGGTCGAGAGAGACGGAGAGAGAGGGAGTCCTCGGTGACATGCCACGTTGCATCAAAATACATGGCAGCATGTTATGTCATACATATAGATGCCGACAACTGCATGGTGAACAATAGGCAGAGAGGAGAAAAGGACAAGAAACAGGGGCCTGTGACAGACTGTTTTGTCAGAGTTTCACTTACTGACCAGAAGGCTGAGAGAGAGAGAGAGAGGTGGTGCGAGTCATGGCAGCATGTTGCATGGAAAAGCATGGTCACACAGCATGGCACACATTAACATGCACGTGCGTCCAAATGCATGGTGACGTGTGCTCGACTGCTTCGGCCATCGTGACATTTGATTGAACAGACCATACAGCTGCATGGAAAACATAGGCCATGCGAGGGTCAATGATCATAATTCCCGACCAGTCTTAAACCACCAGAACATCCGAGCCCTCTTTTGTACAAGATGGATTCCCCCCAAGGGGACGTTTTTGTTTTCGTTTCGGCTAGCGCCGCCAGCCATGTCGGTCCAGTTGCCTCGAGCCTCCAAGAACTTCAGAAAGAGCCTCGTGTTGCTCTCAAGCCGCCTGGGATGATGTACTGGTGCCCTAAAGATGTGATCGCCCATGTATTATGGTTGATGCCTGGCCAGTCTTAAAATTTGTGACCCCCCACAGATTACAACCGTCAAGCACTACACAGCCTATATTTACCAGAAAATACATTCAGGAGTTTCTCTAGCGGAGGGGATAGGGATACATACATATTAGGTTATTAACAAACATAACACGAACACACACTCCTCATTGCATCTCTCTTCCGTTGTTGGATGGATTTGGGGATGATACACACACACACACACACACACATGTGCACGCCATGAGCACAGAGCACAAACAGCCAATACCATAGCTGCAGCGCACGACGGTGCGCCGGTTTGCGCACGTAGTGCAACGCACCGCACAGCGCACCGTCGCGCCCCTCACAGCAAAAAATAGGGGTGGGGGGAAAAAAAAAATTGGGGGGTTTCGCTCGGAGGGCGGGCCCCCACCCCGGCAAAAATGACAGGCAGGGCGCGCGACTCCAGAAACCGGCCGCACCCCGCCTCCAAAATTTTTTTGGGGGGAAGGGCCTGCCGAATTCGAAATTTCAAATTCGGCAGGCCCTTCCCCCACAAAAGTTTTTGGATAAGGGGGACAGCCGTTTTCCGGGAGTCGCGTCACGCGCCCCCTCGCCATTCGAATCTTCACGTCACGAAGGAGAGAGGGATAGACGCTGCAAGGGACGACCAAGAGCGAGCAATGAAGGTGGGGAACAGCAGGGGGAGGGCGATGAAGGTGGGAGACGCGGGAGACCGATGTAGGAGGGAGGGAGGGACATGGCGGGACACCATCGGCGTACGGCAGCCGCAGGACACCATCGGCTCGAAGCAGAGGCGGGAAGTGGCAGCAGGCAGCGGGAGACCGGCGGGCAGCCATGAAGGTGGGCGCCC